ATTGCCTATTTAGAATTTTAGCATCTCCCACAAGGTTTAACTTTCTCTATATTTAAAATAATTGCTTCAGATGTACTCTGACATCATATAGCACTATCAGTCAGTCCAGTTACTACTTTGGTATCCCATTACAATTAGTCTTTCCAATAAACTGTGATCCAATAAAGGAGAAAGAAAGGAGGGAAGGAAGGAGGGAGGGAGAGAGGGAGGGAGGGAAGAAGGAAGGAAGGAAGGAAGGAAGGAAGGAGGAAGGGAAGGAAGGAAGGAAGGAAGGAAGGAAGGAAGGAAGGAAGGAAGGAAGGAAGGAAAGTTCTAGTTTTTGGGAAACAGCATTGAACTTTCATGAATAAATCAAATGATAATATACCCAGATCAAAGCCAAAATGAAGTTTGGTCACTAATGGTACTAGTATTAAAAGTGAAATTCTTAGACCAAATAAGGGAGATTTGGGAGAATGTATAAATTGCCAAATCATTGCATTAATATGCAATGATGTCCAAGCAGAGTTTTTTCTTCCAGACAAATAGAGAGACACACATGGAAAAAGAAATGCAAGATGAATAGGACCTTAGACACACTAGAGTAGGGATTTAAAACCCAAGGCCTGGGGGCTGGATGCAGTCCACAGGGTGCTTAGATCCAGCCTGCGGGGCCACCCTGCAGCAAAGGACCGGTCCACAGTGCTTCTGCCAGCGAAATAGAGCTCAGGAGAGCTGCGTGCAGAGGCTGAGCACTCGGGCAGCCACAGGTGCCCCTAACACGAGTGTCATTGAGCTGGCCATACCTTGGACACACTCACTCCGCCCCCCCCCCAAGGTGAAACACAACCCTAACGTGGCCCTCAATGAAATGGAGTTTGACACCGCTGCACTAGAGGGACATGAGATCAGCCAAATGCAGCATACACTGAGATATGGATGGAGATTGATTTATTTTTTCTCTATGAAGTAAGATGGAGGATTTTTTTCCCCTCAATATTCTGGTATCTGCAAGAAGAAAGTCCGTTCCACAGCAGATTTGAAGGAAAAAACAACCTTGGAAAAATTGGAGAATAAAGTTGGGGTCATGTGGAAGTATTATCTGATTCCTTGCCTCCTGTTTCAGCCACACTTTTAGCCATGCTATCATCTAATGCATGCTGTGAATATTAACCACATAACACCCACTTCTTCAGAACAAGAAAGGAAATGATAGCATCTACCTATTCTTATATTCGTGACTTCCAGAACCATCAGTCCAACAAAGATTCCAAGCACAATTTCAACCCATCTCCTGGCTGAGCTGACCCAACAACTGAGCTATTTTATGGAAAATGAAGACCAGTAAAACCAGTAAATTTAATCCATCTTTATGCTTCTGCCATGACTCTGATAATTAGTTTCTTTCATATTCTGCAAAAAATCTCCCAATTCATTTACAAACACTGCACTCCCCTTGTAAAAAAACACAGCTCACATGAAATTCAACATGAATATTCCCTACTTAAAAGCATTTTCACTACACATTTAACAATGTTCTGTCTGGTAGCAATTCTTACAAAATTCTTTTTTTAAAAAAACCATGAATTCAGAGAGAAGCTTGACTACTGGTTCTTTGTCCTCCTCTAAATATCTTACTTGGCCTATTCTTCTGGGAAAAGAAGTACAGTACAATACATGTCTTTCTGCATCTGCTTTTGTTCTGAATTACAGTCTGTTCATGCACTGAATTGGAGCTGACTGATCTGGAATAATTCAGGCTGATCTGCACTTTTTTCTTACGTTAGCAAAAGGGTGGGACCCCTTCCTACCATTAAAGGAGGGCAGGACTGGATAATGTGTTCTCAGCCATATTCTACCCTACAGGGAACTTACTTTCAACCCAGGTTTTTTTATGCATATAAAAAATGTGGGTTTTTTAAATCCCTTCCTTGATACAAACAGGGAAATTTGATCTATCTCCACTACACAAAAATGCCCCCAATCCAATTAGCTCTGCCTTTAACGGCCATTTCATACCAGCAACTGTCTATCATGAAAGACTGTGTATCATTATGTGTGCATCCATTCAATGCTGGATGGACCTTCCTCCCACCCTCTCTTCCTCCCTTCCTTCCAGAGGTGGTATTTAGCAGGTTGTGATCAGTGCTGGAGAACTGGTAGTGGAAATTTTGAGTCATTCAGAGAACCGGTAAATACCACCTCTGACTGGCCCTGCTCCCATCTATTCTCTGCCTCCTGAGTCCCAGTTGATCGGGAGGGAATGGAGATTTTATAGTATCCTTCTCCTGCCACGCCCACCAAGCCATGCCCATCAAGCCATACCATGCCCACCAAGACACACCCACAGAACCAGTAGTAAAAAAACTTGAATCCCACCTCTCCTTCCTTCCTTCCTTCCTTCCTTCCTTCCTTCCTTCCTTCCTTCCTTCCTTCCTTCCTTCCTTCCTAGGATTCTCCTTCTAACTCAAGTTACAGAAGGAACAAATTGTCTTCCCCTACGTTTTAGCAATTCTCAAAAGAAATACTTATAGAAATAGAAGTGGGAGGAGCAAAGAATGGGTAGAAGCTTCCACTCTGCTAACTCTGCTACTCTAATATTTTGTTGCTTTGTCACATGTCCGCTATAAGCGATAAAAGGTCTCTTCTTTACTTTTACATTTTCAACAATTGAAATACCTTTATACATTCTTGACAACTTATCTGGTGTTAAACACCAATGATATATCATTGTATATTTTTTTATTTTAAATTATAATTTAATGTAAATTTTAAACCTTTCATCCACATATTCTTCCATTGTTCAAGCATGACATTATATCCAAAGTTCCTCGCCCTCTGAATCATGCAGTGCTTTATATATTCATTCTCCAAATTCAAATTCAACAACAGTTTATAAACTTTGGCAATAATATGTTCATGACTACCACACAGTAGGATTTCCAATTTGTTTTTCACAAAATCAAACCCATAACTCTTTTTAAATATTTAAAAGGATATTTAAATATTTAAATATTCCTTTCAATTGAAAATATGTTTACCAATGGCAGACATGTCCTTCTGATTCTAACCCTTATTAGACTTAAGAATAGGATCACCAAAGTTAAAAGATATTATTTGACCATAGGTTCCCCAGTCTGGCTTCACCATCATTTCTTTTCCATGTGTGAAATACAGTAGACGTACCAATGCTCAATAGCTGATGTCTGTCTGAAAATCTGGAAATCAAGATAGCAAGTACACTGTTGCAATATTTTCAGGATCAGACTCAATAAAGATAATAGGAGTTAGAGCTTTAAATATATTTCTTTTTAATTATGATAGGCATTCTATATTCACTGAATATTCAAGGTAGAAGCAACGAGAATGGTGAGGGTGGCTCCTTATATATACAAGGGGTGGAGCTAGGAATGGGAGTGGTAAGTTATGAATACATTAAAGTCCAAAGAATAAGTTAACCTCTGATGTTCCATATATACATTATTTACACATTGGAGAATAAGGCATTTACATCTGACATACACAATACTTGAATTTTGAGACAAAAAAAACCCCACCTTCCCTTTAAAAATGCAGATTTCCCCATATTTCATTCAATACTTTAATATGCCCAAAAACTTTAGGAAAAAAGAAATTTAAAGAGTTTGCAGTGTTGTCAGCAAGTGGCACAAACAAGGCAGAAAGTTGTTTCCTTCTCTCTCTCCCTCTCCCTCTCCCTCTCCCTTCCTCCCCCCCCTCTCTTTTTTTTTTACTAACCTCTAGGGCATTCAGAAAACAAAGCAAAAAAGAAACATTGCACACAATTTACAGTATTATACAGTTTGCATACCTTAATATTATTTCCATAAATATGCACATTTTGGTGTACCTTTCTAAAACATATTCGTGTGTGTGTGTGTGTGTGTGTGTGTGTGTGTGTGTGTGTGTAAAAATAGAATAGAATAGAATAGAATAGAATAGAATAGAATAGAATAGAATAGAATAGAATAGAATAGAATAGAATAGAATATACATACTTTGCTGAATTTGAAAGCCACTCTTGACATATAGAATGATATTCAGGGGAATTGTACCTTATTGGCTAGAACAGGGATACCAAACTTACGTCGTCACATCGTCGTCACATGATGTACCGGGACTTTTCCCCCCTTCGCTAAACCGGGGGTGGACATGGCCAGCACATGACACATCCAGTCCACGGGCCATGAGTTTGACATCCCAGGGCTAGAACATGTGCTGAAGATACAGATAGTCCTTAACTTATAATGATCCATTTAGTGACAGATTGAAGTTACAACAGCAGTGAAAAAAGTGTCTTACAGCTATTTTTCACACTTATAACTATTGCAGGCTCCCCATGATTACCTGATCAAAAGTCAGATGCTTGGCAACTGGTTTGTATTTATAACAGTTACAGTGTCCCGGGGTCATATGATCTTCTGACAAGCAACAGAAAGCCAGATTCACTTAACAACTGTGTTACTAATTTAATAAATACAGTGATTCACTTAACAACTTTTAGTCTGATTTAAGAAAAGGTTGTAAAATGGAGCAAAACTCACTTAGCAACTGTCTTGCTTAGCAACAGAATTTTTGGGGTTCAGTTGTGGTCCTGAGTCAAGGGCTACATGTATTGTTTTTCAATTGATCAGTTCACCCAACCCGACAGAACAATAGGCTTGAGTTCTACCTCATGTATATTTTCCCAGAAGTGAGAGTTCACAACTGCAGTTCCCACATATAGCCAAAATGATATGGTCTTGCAGAGGTTGTTTTTAACCACTTGATTTTCCTCTCTCTATAAATAATATCTGAGTTTCCTGTGTTTAATGCCTTTTCCCAGAAATGTAGAAAAAGTAGATTAAGATGAATCTGACAGTTAGCATCTCTTGGAATATCATTTTGTTCACAATTTTTAAATAAAGCTTCATAAAAATTAACATTTTTTTCATAACAGGATAGCTTTTTTTTTATCAATAAAAAAGTAAAAGTAAATGGGGAAGAAAACAAATATGACTTACATATCCATCGCCATCAGCTTCATTTTTTCCACCTTCATCGTTTTAATGCAGAAGAGGATTGGCTCACATTTTTCTGTCATCACATGTTATGCATCTTCTTTGTTGTTTCCCTTCACCCTTCTTCTGCTTGTCTATTTTAATCATTGAGCATTTCCATAATACTTTGAATGCCATTACAGACAAAAAACTAAGCAACCAATTCCCATAATTGCTGCCTTCAGACAGTCACCAGTAAAGAAAGCTTCGGCAAATATCTTGTACAAAATAGGAAACAGCTCAACAGCAGATAAAAGAATCAAAGAACAAAAGTGAGAATTTGACTAATAGCGGCATTAAGTACTAAGCAAAGCTATGCATGTTAAGTTCAAAAGGGAGGTAGGAGAAGCAGGGCCATCATCCAGTCTACCTAGCAGCTAATTCTCATAAAGTAAAATAGGACCCATCATTCCAGATAATTGATTCCAATCTTGAAATTGTTCTGACTCTTAGGAAGTTTCTTTGCTAATTTTCACAGGGAATCTGCCTTTAAATCTATTACTTGCACTTTGGAATAATAATCAGTCTTGAACTCATTTGCTTGAATACTTTGTTTAGATGCCTCCTACTTTGCAAGAGTCACAAAATAAAAATGTCATACAAACTTAATCAAGATAAAAACATTAAAACCATAACTGCCAGAGGCAAGCAGCAGTGTATCCTCCAAAGGCTCAGGGGAAGAAGATAGTTCTTCTAGTTATGGTCTTACTTGAAAATGAAGCAACCATTGGAATTTTGAATGGCTCTGGTCTTCACCCAGACCTCTGGTGAAGATGATTAATACCTATCTTACTATTCTTTGGTTTCTTTTCTCTGCCAAATCTGCTATTTTTATTTCTGTTGCATCACTTTCTGTTTTTGTATTCCTTGTCTTTAAATAATTTTAACAATTTAGGAAGGAATTTAGAACGGAGCTGTGGTGGCACAGTGATTAGAATGCAGTATTGCAAGCTAACTCTGCCCAGAGCCTGGAGTTTGATTCTGATGGGCTCAATGCAGTACTGCAGTCTGCTTCTCACCATCTCAGAGTTGACTCAGCCTTCCATCCTTCAGAAGTCGGCAAAATGAGGACCCAGTTTGTTGGGGCAATATATTGACTCTAATAAATCACTTAGAAAGGGCTGTAAAACACTATGAAGTGGTAGCTAAGTCTAAGTGCTATTGATATTCTTATTTGTAAATTGCCCAGAGTCACTGGCAGTGAGGTGGCATATCAGTTTAATATATTATTATTAGGGACAGAACAATGTGAAATAGCAGCTTTCAGATCATTATCAGGAATCGGTACTTCCCAGGAACCTAAGATATCATTATTTATTGACATGTGTCCAAGGCCCCCTTATCTTAAAATATTCCAAACAAACACCATTTTCTCTTGGAAAAAAATAATTCTAGTTAAATCAAAGCTATAATTGCAAAATATATATCAAAGTTGTTGTTGTTGTTGTTGTTGTTGTTGTTGTTGTTGTTGTTGTTTAGAAAATCAAATTTGCATCATCTTCCTTTAAGAGGGAGGGAACTTACCTACAGAATACAGAACAGCAGAGTTGGAAGGGACTGGACCTGGATATTTTCTGGTCCAATCCCCTGGTCAAGCAATTATACCATTATACCATTTGGGACAAATGGTTGTCTAATCTCTTTTTAAAAACTCCAGTGTTCTAGCACCCACATCTTTAGAGGCAGTGATTAATTGTTCTCACTAACAGGAAATTTCTCCTTAATTTATTTAATTTATTAAATTAATAATTAATTTATTAAACTTTCATTTGTTACTTCTTGTCTTGCCTCAGGCGCTTTGAAGAGTAGATTGACCACCTTGTCTCTGTGAAAGCCCTTCAAAAATTAAAAGATTCTTATCATGTCATCCCTAGTCCTTGTCTTTATTAGAGTAGACATTCCTAGTTCTTACACCCATTCATTGTACAGTTTAGCCTCCAGTCTCCTAACCATCTTTGTTGCTCTTCTCTGCATTCTATCTATACTGCTCAAAAAAATAAAGGGAATACAAGCAGAAGACATCCGAGATCTGAATGAATGAAATAGCCTTATTAAATACTTTGTTCTTTACATATAGTAATTTATACACTGCTCAAACAACTAAAGGGAATACAAAACTACTGTATGTAACGAACAAAGTATTTAATAAGGCTATTTCATTTATTCAGATCTTGGATGTCTTTTGCTTGTGTTCCCTTTATTTTTTTGAGCAGTGTATATTCTCAAGATCTTTTTTTATATCATGGTGACGAAAACTCAAAACAATGTTTGAAGTGTGTTCTTCCAGTGCAGGATCTTGATACTATTCTTTTGTTGATGCAGTCTAGGACAGTATTAGGACCTGATGAATGCAGGAAAACTTTGTCAATCTGAAGGGTCTTAATCTCTCAATATAACAATAATATTTTTTTTTAAAAAAATCCCAAATATAATTAAGAAATGAGGTTCTGTCAATCTTTATGTCTGTACAAATTCACAGGGGTGAATTTGGTGGAATCCCTCCTCAACTCATAAGCCATCCACAAAATGGCAGTTTGTATGGTTTACTCACAAGCAACAGTTCTTTGGAATCATGTGGCTGATCTCAACGATCTCTTCTTTCTTTGGAAAATGTTTTTGCTGGCTCAGATCCTTCATCTAAGGTGAACTTTCCTTCAAATCAGTAGGACGTCAGCCTGCCATGGTCCTCACCAGAAGTGTTCTATGTCATTCATGAGTTATTTTAAATATATTATCTATTTATCTGTTGATGGACCACTGTTTGTCTCCCACAGAGACAGTACTTGGATAGTGTAATCACAGATGTATATAAATCTAACAATATGGACAAGCACACAAGAATAGTGGCAGTCATTTGTACAAGCATAATCACCCATGTGCAAAAATCAATTTATTGATGGGTTCCTAAGAAGAAAACCTTTGAGTAACCCAGGCACAGCTCTAGTTAATGTGTGTGAATTTTTAAAATAATTTTAAATGTTTAAACTTGGAGTTTCTACAATAATTTTGACCTGAAAAATCTTTTTTACTGTGACATCAGAAATATTTGCTTCCATGCCTTCTTGTCTGATTTATACTACAGATGGTTGTTGTATGAACTTTGTAACAACCATGTGGTGCCCAAATTATTTTTTCTATATATCTCAAACTTTCTTTTAATGTGTCATATGTCTTGAAATCTGTGTTTAGTATTGATGTCTTAAGCTATTTGGGGAGCTTAATATTCTTTTTATGAAAACCATGGTGAAATGTTTTGCTTCCAAAAATCCATACAAAACAGCAGAAGCCAGTTTTATAATCTATAAGTACAATTGCACATAGAATTCTCATAAGTCTGTTCCTATTGGTTTTCTTTCTACCTCTGTGCATGCATGGGGACATTCATATCATAGGGAATGTAGTAAAGCTTATGGAATAAAAGTTCTGGAGGTGCCTCTGTTATCTTTGTTCAGTCTTTCTTTTACCTTTGATAGACATTATTCATTTAGGGTTCTATGACACCAAATAAGACTGGAATGAAGATTAAAAACTGAAGAGATTCAAGTTCCCCTCTTCTGTAGATGACACATGTGACTCCACTTTTCTAATTTTTCCATTGTTCTGTTTCATATGATAAGGTTGATAAATATCTAACATCAACAGGTACAGATGCAGCAGTGCATTTAGTGATAAATGATGATGTTATAACAAGATTTCATGTATAAATGATAGAAGTGTGCACGGAGTCAGTCAGCTAGGGAAAAAATATTAGATATTATTATCAAGCCTCACACTTATGTATTGGAGCCTCAAGCTGTGGGTAATATAATGCAAACACAAGTTTATGACATAAATCCAAGTTAAAAGCATTATGCACTGTAGTCTGGCTAAAAACTTAATTTTAAAAATAACAGATCCAAGTGGCAATAGATTGCATTAAAGACAAATTTGAATATGGGATTCCACTAGTTTATTCCTTATATATAGTACTTCTATTAAAGGTAAAGGTAAAAGTTCCCCTCAAACATATGTGCTAGTCATTCCCGACTCTAGGGGGCGGTGCTCATCTCCATTTCAAAGCCAAAGAGCCAGCGCTGTCTGAAGACGTCTCAGTGGTCATGTGGTCAGCATGACTAAATGCCAAAGGTGCACAGAATGCTGTTACCTTCCCACCAAAGGTGGTCCCTATTTTTCTACTTGCAATTTTTACGTGCTTTCAAACTGCTAGGTTGGGTCAAGTAACTGAAGCTCACCCCGTTACACGGCACTAGGGATTTGAACCGCTGAACTGCCGACCTTTTGATTGACAAGCTCAGAGTCTTAGCCACTGAGCCACCGCGTCCCTAGTACTCTTACAGTACCCTAAAAAAGAAGTTCATGACAAAAGAATAATTTACTGTCTTTTGTCCTAAATGCATCTCCAAGTTAAACAAAATAAAACAACCACATTCATTTTGCAACAATGAAATATGATGCTAGATTTGTCTTCAACAAACCTACAGAAGCTAAAGCTAATATTGATACACTTTCAAAGAAATGTCTAGAAATTTTCAATGGTGACGAAATTTGAAAAAGCACCTTTTCTCTTGCTGTTAATGTTCACACTACAGTGACATGTAGTGCAGAGACAGGGAGATGACAGCTTTTGGGCTAGGCAGGCTTGGAGCTTAATACCATTGTTGTGTTGAAATCCTTGTGCTCAACCTCAAGACATAACACTTCAGAGACCCTAGAGTCAAACTTCTATTTAACATTAGGTTGACTTGTAACAAAGCTTACTTCATCCATGAATTGATTCTTGCTGAGAGAGTTGCTCTGGCATGCATAACCAGATTCCAGTAATTCCCAGTCCAACAGAAGGAGCATACTATGGGCATTCTCAGTCAGACTGGTAGGGTCTAGAAGGAGAGCATTTTCTGTTATCACCCCCATTCTTTGGAATGTGTCCTGGCCTGAGGTGAGATCTGCCCCCACCCTATTGTTTTCCAGAAGTTTGATTCTCATTGGCTCAAAGTTTACTCAGCCTTCCATCCTTCCAAGATTGGTAAAATGAAGAGCCAAATTGCCCAGACATAATGGGAAGATGTCCCAGACATAATGGGAGTGAGACCCTATTTGTGGAAATCACAAATATGGCAAATATGGCAACTTTATCTAG